GTTGCACCTTTCTACTTGCTCTCTTCATTCACCTTCAGCCCATCTGCCCTTAGTCTTTACTAGACTATTGTGGCTGAAATCACCTGGGGTCTCATAATCTCCAAATACAGTTTGCAGTTTTCAGATTGCACCTGACTTCATTTCTCTGAAGCATTTGGCACCAATAGCCACTCCTTCTAGAAACTCATATCTTCCAGAGCTTGGTTGATCATTCCTTTCTGGTTTATATGGTGACTTTTTAGCCTCCTCCTGGCTGTTAAATGTTGGTATTGTCCAATGTTCTGATTTTGGCTATTTTGCTTTCTCACATTAAAAAAAAATATATATAAGCAAAAATTCATTTGTTTCTCATAAAAATCTTCAAACATACACAAAAATGGAATCAATACTGACAAGCTGATCCTAAAATCACATGGAAATTTAAGAGACCCAGAATGACCAAAACGATATTGAAAAAGAAGAACAAAATTTGAGGATTCACACTTCCAGATTTCAAAACTTAGTGCAATGCTACACTAATCAAGACAATGTGGTCCTGGCATTAGGTAGGGTGCTCATAGAGACCTGTAAAATAGTATTGAGATTCCAGGGGGGAAAAAACCTTACATTACCAATCAATTGATTTTTTTACAAGTGTGCCAAAACTATGGGGAAAGAGTAGTCATTTCAATAAATGGTGCTGGACAAGTGGATATTCACATTCATAAGAATGAAGTTGGACCCCTACCTCACACTGTATATAAAAATTAACTCAAAATGGGTGAAAGACCTAAATGTAAGAGCTAAAACTATAAAACTCTTAGAAGAAAACCATCATGACCTTGAATTTGTCGATAGTCTCTTAGATATGACACCAAAAGCACAGCAACCTAAAAAAAAAAGATAATTTTTTTTAATATAAATTTTTTGAATATCTGTGCTTCAAAGGATACCATGAAGAAAGTGAAAACTACCCACTGAATGGGAGAAAATATTTGTTAATCATAATCTGATAAGGATCTTGTATCTAGAATACATAAAGAACACTTACAACTCAATTAAAAAATGGGCAAAGAATCTGAATAGACATTTCTCCTAGGAAGATATACAAACAGCCAACGGCACATGAAAAATGCTCAGCATCATTATTTATCAGGGAAATGCAAATCAAAACCACAATAAAATACCACTTCACACTCACTAGGATGGAGAGAATAAAAAAGATGGATAGTAACAGATGTTGGCAAAGAAGTAGAGAAAATAGAATTCTCGTACACCTTATCCCATTGCCATCAAGTCGATTCCAACTCATAGCGACCCTATAGGGCAAAGTAGAACCGCCCCATAGGGTTTCCAAGGAGAGGCTGGTGCATTTGAACTTCCGATCTTTTGGGTAGCAGCTGAACTCATAACCACTATGCCACCAGCGCTCCCATATACTACTAGTGACAATGTAAAATGGTGCAACCACTTTGGAAAACAGTCTGACAGTTCCTCAAAAAGTTAAACATAGAGTGAGATACCACTTTATACCCACTGGGATGACTGTAATAAAAAAGATAATAACAAGTGTTGGCCAGGATATGGAGAAATTGGAACCCTCACACACTCCAATGGAAATGTAACATGGTGCAGTCACTTTGGAAAACATTCTGGCAGTCCCTCAAAAGGCTAAACAGAGTTACCATATTGGTGTTGTGTGCCGTCCAGTCCATTCTGACTCATAGCAACCCCATATGGCAGAGTAGTACTGCCTCATAGAGTTTTCTAGGCTGTAGTCTTTACAGAAACCCTGTTGGTGTAGTGGTTAAGTGCTACAGCTGCTGCCCAAAAGCTTGGCAGTTCAAATCCACCAGGGGCTCCTTGGAAACTCTATGGGGCAGTTCTACTCTGTCCTATGGGTCACTATGAGTTGGAATTGACTTGAGGGCAATGGGTTTTAGTCTTTATGGGACTATATCACCAGGTCTTTTCTCCCGTGGAGCTGCTGGGTGGGTTTGAACCACCAACCTTTTGGTTAGCCGCCAAGTGTTTAACTGTCACACCATCAGGACTCCTTAGAGTTAACAACTATGTTGTTGTTGTTGTTAGGTGTCCTCAAGTCAGACTCATAGTGACCCTATATACAACAGAACAAGAAGTTGCCCAGTCCTGTGCCATCCTCATAATACTAGGTATGTTTGAGCCCACTGTTGCAGCCACTGTCTCAGTGCATCTCATTGAAGCATTCTGTCTATCCTTCTTCCAAGATAGATTTGTTCATTCTTCTGGCAGTCCATGATATATTCAATGTTTTTCACCAACACCATAATTCAAGTGCATCAATTCTTCTTCGGTCCTCCTTATTTATTGTCCAGCTTTTGCAAGTATATAGGCAATTGAAAATACCATATGACCCAGCAGTTCCACTCGTAGGTATATATCCAAGAGAAATGAAAACATATTTCCATGCAAAAACTTGTAAGCAAATGTTCACAGCAGCATTATTCATAATAGATAGAAAGTAGAAATAACCCACATGCCCATCAATGTATGAATGGATAAATAAAATGTGATATATTCTTGTAATGGAATATTATTTGGAAATGACAAGGAATAAAGTACTAATATATGCTATAAGATGTATGGACCTTGAAAATATATGTTAACTGAAAGAAGCCAGTCACAAAAGACCACATATTGTATAATTTCCGTTATATAAAATGTCCAAAATAGGCAAATTTAGAGACAGAAAGTAGATTAGTGGTTGCCTGGGGCTGAGGATAGGGGGTGGAGGCTTGAGGATGATGACTAAAGTGTGTGGAAGTTTCTTTTTTGAGATGATGAAAAAGATTTTAAAATTGATTGTGGTAATGGTTGCACAACCCTGTAAATATACTAAAAACCATTGAGTTTTACACTTTAAATGGGTGAATTGTACAGTATGTGAATTATATCTCACAATAATAAAGCTGTTACACACACACACACACAGAAAAGAATAATACTATCAAATCCAATCACCATCACCAACATTCAACATTTTCTTAATCTTATTTCATCTATTCCCCTACAGTGGGGGGTGGGGGGGAACAGTTGCTATGATGGTTAGTGTTATGTGTCAACTTGGCTAGGTCACGAGTATCGGTATTATGTAATTATCCTCCTGTCATGGTTTGAATTATGTCCCCCCAAAAATGTGTGTATCAATTGTGCTAGGCCATGATTCCTGGTACTGTGTGATTTTCCTGTATGTTGTAAACTTGCCTCTATGATGTTAATGAGGGAGGATGGGTGGCAGTTGTATTAGTAAGGTAGGACACGATCTGCAAGACTGGATTGTGTCCTGAGGCAATCTCTTGAGATATAAAAGACAGAAGTGAGCAGTGAGACAGGGGGACCTCATACCATCAAGAAAGCAGTGCCGGGAGCAGAGCGCGTCCTTTGGACCGGGGTCCCTGCACAGAGAAGCTCCTAGTCCAGGGGAACACCGAAGAGAAGAAGGCCAACAGAAAGAAAAAGCCTTCCCCTGGAGCTGATGCCCTAAATTTGGACTTTTAGCCTACTTTGACTGTGAGGAAATAAACTTCTCTCATTAAAACCATCCACTTGTGGTATTTCTGTTGTAGCAGCACTAGATAACTAAGACACCTCCTTTATGTGATCTGATGTATGGAGAGTTTCCTTGGGGCTGTGGCCTGCATCCAACATACATGGACGTTCTGGCAAAGCTCACTTGCTCTGGATCCTGCATCCATCTTGTCATCCTCTGACCCCTGGTTATTGGGCTGTTAGCCAGCAGCCTGCCGCCTTACCTGAAAATTTTGAGATTCACCAGCTTTGGCAACCCTGTGAATCAGGAAAAGTCTCCAGTCTGATGCCTGACCCACGGATTTGGGACTTGCCAGTCTCCACAACTGCGTAAGCCTTTCCTTGAAATAAACCTCTCTGCATATATCCATATATGTAAACTTTACTGGTTTTGCTCTTCTAGAGAACTCAGCCTAAGACAGTTGACATGTAGCCCATTCCAACTCATGGAGATCCCATGTGTATCAGAATAGAATTGTGCTCCATGGAGTTTTCAATGGCTGACTTTTTGGAAGTAGATCATCAGGTCTTTCTTCTGAGGTACCTCTGGATGGACTCAAACCTCCAACCTTTTGGTTAGCAGCAGAGCAAGTTAAACTTTTGTGCCACCTGGGGACTCCCTACAGTTCACAGGTCCTTATTTCCAAGTTTGATCTTTTCTTAGATTGCCATAATTTGCAGAAATGTTTAGAAAGTTACTGCTTGTTAGATTTGTTAGGCATTTAAAGACTTGGGGAAAATTGTATTTATTAAATTTGTTGTCACATTTTGAAAAGTCTAAGGCAGTAGTTCCCAAATTGTTAGTAGAGGGGAGGGTGGTTAAAATCCCAATACACAGGTAACGCCCATATCCCATACCAATTAAATCAGTGTCTGGGTGTAGGAGTGGGTAGGCATCAGTATGTTTAGTGATTCTCCAGATGAATCCAATGTTCTGCAAAGTTAGTAAACCGTGAAAGATGTTTTAGTAGGATTTAATCTGTTAATCTTATCATCTAATTAATCTAATCAAAGAACAAATTAAGTTTTTACCACCCCCCCGAAATCATTAGATTTATAAATGAATAACAAGTTTGGCAAGTTGACTAAGGTCAAGAGAAAAGTTTTAAAAATATATAATTATTTAATATTTAAATACTGAATATTCAGATCAGGAAATTGTTAAGTATACTTTCCCAATTAACAACACCTCCTCGGGATTTAAAAACCAGGAGGACAGCTGGGTCACCGAATGGTTAACAAGCAGGTACTCTGGGGAGCAAGAGAGAGAGAGTTCAAGTTCAGAAGACCCATTTCTTTTCACCAATGGGACCCGGAAAGGGATCTTACTGGCCAGGAAGTTTCATCTGGGATCCCCGGAGCCTTGGCAATGGCTCCTCGGTGACTTCTTGGGCCATCGCGTTTCCCCGCCCAAAGTGGGTTGGAGCGGGAGGGAACTACGCGCAGACCGAGCCGGGAAATGGGCGCTGGAGCCCGGCCCGCGCTTCTTCTCTTGATGCTGTTGCGTGCCGTGGCTCCGCAAGGGCGGCGACCGCGTGAGTCCGGGGCCTGAGGGAGAACCTGGGGCGCGGAGGGGGAACAAATCCTAACAGTCTTTAGCGCTCAGGAGTTTGCAAAGTTCGAAAGAACTGCTCAGCCCCACCTGCAATCCCTCCGCCAACTTTCTGAGCGAAATACCGGGAAGAGACGCTTCCGCTGAGCTGGAGATGAGGGTTTCCTCGCTCCAGGACTTTGCACCCGTCAACCCTGCTTTGGCGTGGCACCCACCCGCCCCTTGGCCGGCGCGCACCGTTAGGCTTTTAAATAAATCTCTTGGTTTCTCATTTAGGCGTGCCTGGACTAGGATCTTGGTTTTCTTGTTTTTAAAGTTGGCTGTGCCGTTTCCCCTAGTCGTCCCAAAACAGGAAGTTCTCACTGTGTGCGACCTTGGCCCAGGCGCCCCACTGGTGTTTATGCACCACAGCGCAGCGAGGGGCTGGAAGACTTGAGCGAAACCAAGGCGGAACCAGTCCACTTCAGAACCATTAGCCCTGGTGCGGTGGGAATGTGGATGTGTGGGAGTGGGATCTGAGTTCTACCCCACCCCCACTCCTTTGCGGTGATAACTGGATGTGAGAGGAGCCTGAGAGAGACTTGCCCAGGGCCTGGGAGATTGAGCTTTTGCCTGCGGAAAAAAAAGTTTCAGCTGTAGATATCGGTTCACTTTCCTAGCCGGGCTTTGGGCTTTGTTGATTTGCAATGCTAATATGTTGTATAATTAGGGTCTTTACTACAGGATACCAAATTGATAATGATTAACACTTAGTAAAGAGTTGCGGTTTTAAAACCCATTCATATCTGTGATGTTATTTCACACTCACTATGCATTTGGGAGATTGTTGTTAGGTGCCTTCCAGTCACTTCCGACACATAGTGACCCTATCTATGTACAACAAAACAGTTAACGGTTCTGCGGTTCTGCGCAATCCTCACAATCGTTGCTATGTTTGAGTCCATTGTTGTAGCCAATGTGTTAATCCATCTATCTCATTGAGGGTCTTCCTCTTTTCCGCAGACCCTCTACCTTACCAAGCATGTCCTTCTCCAGAGAATGGTTTCTCCTGATAACATGCCCAAAGTACGTGAGAAGTCTTGCCATCCTTGTTTCCAAAGAGCTTTCTGGCTGTACTTCTTCCGAGACAGATTTGTTCGTTTTCTGGCAGTCCATGGTATAGTCAATGTTCTTCGCCAACACCATAATTCAAAGGCATAAGTTCTTCTTCATGCTTCCTTCGTCATTGTCCAGCTTTCACATGCATATGAAGCGATTGAAAATACTATGGCTTGGATCAGGCGCTCCTTAGTCCTCAAAGTGACATCTTTGGTTTTCAACACTTTAAAGATGTCTTTTGCAGTAGATCTGCCCAATGCAATACAGCATTTGATTTCTTGACTGCTGCTTCCAAGGGCATTGATTGTGGATCAAAGTAAAATGAAATCCTTGACAACTTCAGTATTTTCTCTGTTTATCATGATGTTGCTTATTGATCCAATTGTGAGAATTTTTGTTTTCTTTGTTGCGGTGTAATCCATGCTGAAGGCTGTATGTAGTCTTTGATCTTCATTAGTAAGTGGTTCAAGTTCTCTTTGCTTTCAGCAAGCAAGGTTGTGTCATCTGCATAGCACAGGTTGTTAATGAGTCTTCCTCCAATCCTGATGCTGTGCTCTTCTTCATATAGTCCAGCTCCTTGGATTATTTGCTCAGCATACAGATTGAATAAGTATGGTGAAAGAATACAACCCTGACACACACCTTTCCTGACTTTAAACCATGCAATAATCCCTTGTTCTGGTCTATCAACTGCCTCATGGTCTACGTACAGGTTCCGCATGAGCACAATTAAGTATTCTGGAATTCCCATTCTTCGCAATGTTATCCATAATTTGTTATGATCAACACAGTCAAATGCCTTTGATAGTCAATAAAACACAAGTAAACATCTTTCTGGTATTCTCTGCTTTCAGCCAAGATCCATCTGACATCAGCAATGATATTATTCTTAGTTCCACGTCCTCTTCTGAATCCAGCTTGAATTTCTGACAGTTCCCTGTTAATGTACTGCTGCAACCACTTTTGAATGATCTTCAGCACAATTTTACTTGTGTGTGATATTAATCATATTGTTGAATAATTTCTGCATTTTGTTGGATCACCTTTCTTTGGAATGGGTACACACATGGATTGCTTCCAGTCGGTTGGCCAGGTAGTTGTCTTCCAAATTTCTTGGCATAGACCAGTGAGCACCTCCAGCACTGCATCCCTTTGTTGAAACATCTCAGTTGGTATTCCGTCAATTCTTGGATCCTTGTTTTTCGCCAGTGCCTTCAGTGCAACTTGGACTTATTCCGTCATTGCCATCAGTTGTTGGTCATATGCTACCTTCTGAAATAGTTGAACGTCAACCAATTCTTTTTGGTACAGTGACTCTGTGTATTCCTTCCATCTTCTTTTGATGCTTCCTGTGTTGTTCAATATTTTGCCCATAGACTCCTTCAATATTGTAACTCCAGGCTTGAAATTTTTCTTCAGTTCTTTCAATTTGAAAAATACAAAGCGTGTTCTTCCCTTTTGGTTTTCTAACTCCAGGTCTTTGCACAATTCATAATAATATTTTACTTTGTCTTCTTGAGCTGCCTTTTGAAGTCTTCTGTTCAGCTCTTTTACTTCATCATTTCTTCCATTCACTGGTTATAATGTACTCACGCTAATTGAAAAGTGCTTCAGAAGAAAAATCTGGCAATATACTTCTGCAAAATCAGCCATTGAAAATCCTATGGAGCATAGTTCTACTGTGCCACACGTGCAATCGCTATGAGTTGAAATGGGCTGGACAGCAACTGTTTTGTGTGGTATTATTTGTTTACTAGCAGTTTTTACTAGCAGTTAACTGCCTCTCAGGTTAAATAACTTTCCCAGTTTAATGTTAAATAGTGTACTGCCACTCCTTCCTAAGCATAGCTGACATTGATCAGACTCTTAGTATTGCATGCAAGACTCTGAGCTTACTTTGCATACATTATCATATGAAAGACTCAGAACAACTTTGGAGTTTAGGTACTACAGTGAAACCTGTGACATCCAGAACTGTTTGGGACTGCCTTGTTTTTCCTGGTCTGGCAAGTTTTCCACCTTTGACAGGGTGCAGTCTTACCACTTTTCTATCACTCGTTTTAGTGGAAAATATTTGAGTTTTTCTTCTCTGACAGTTTTCCAACTTACACAGTTTTTGGCTTTCAAAGGTTTTACTGTATTTGTATTGACATGTTACAGATGGCGATAATGAACTGATAACCTTGCTCAACATTACACAGGCTTTTGCAGGACTATCTCTGCTCCATAGCTGTCACTCTTAAACATCCCATTGCATTAGAGTTTGAATCATAAAATTTGATGTTGAACAGAAATATTCATTCATTCACAAGTATAAAATGTGTTGCACTGTTTTAGCTCCAGAGTAACAGCAGGGAACCAAGTCTTTTGCATTCTAGTGGGGAAGAGGGCAATAAACAAATGAGCAGGTAGTGAGGGGTGCCATGGAGACCTGAGAACTAGGGAGGTCAGTGTGGGTCTCTCTCTCAGGTTGATGTTTACCCAGAGACCTGAAGGAAATGATGGTGCTGCTGACTGAGATAGAGCTTCTCAGGCAGACTGAGGCAGAGTGGGCCTGGCAAGTTGGGCTGAAGCAGGCTTTCATAACCTCAGCATTATTAAAATTTGAGGCTGGTTAATTTTTTGTTGTGGGGAACTGTCCTGTGCATTGTAGGATGTTTAGCAGCATCCTAGGCCTCTACTCACTAAATGCTAGTAATACTCCCCTAGTTATGATGATCAAAAATGTTTCCAGACTTGGCCAGATGTCCCCAGGGGGATAAAATCTCCCAGTTGAGAACCACTGGGTTGAGGAAGAGCAAGGAGGCTGATAACCCTAGAGAGCAGTGGTCAGAGGCAGAAAAGTGATCAACGAAGTCAGAAAAGGGGCTACAGGCAAGGCCATATAGGTCTTTTTAGGCTGTGGTGTGGATTCTCAGGTTCTGGGAAGCCAAAGGGTGACATGATCTTTCATAGGTTTTAAGAAGATTGCTCTGGTTGCTGTGTGGAAAGCAGAATGAAAGGGGCAACAGTAAAAGCAGGGGGACCAGCCAGGCAGCTGTTATACTAGTCCAGGCAAGAGGTGAAGGACTAGGTTGGGTGGGAGCAGAGGAGGTGGTGAGAAATGGTTGTATTCTGGATATACGTTGAAGGAGATTGCTGAATAAACTATTTGTTGCATGAGAGAAAGAGAAGAGGCAAAGTTGATCCATTATTTAATTATTTTTATTCAATTTCAATTTTATTAGCCTGAGCAATATGGCAATAGGCGATGCCATTTTTAAGATGAGGAAGGCAAAAGAAAGAGCAGTTTAGGGGCAACCAAGAGCCTGGTTTTGGATGCGTTAAGCTGGAGATGTGAATTAGTCATCCAAGAGGTAAGCTCATGTAGGCAGTTGGGTATAAGAGTCTGGAGTTCAGCTCCAGAAATAAAAATCTCAGAGTTATCGTCATTCATTCATTCATTGATTCCTTCAATAAGTATTAAGCACCTAGTTAGTGGAAACCGTTTGTGCTAGACTATTAACCTAAAGGTTGGTGGTTTGAACCCACCCAGCAGTACCATGGAAGAAAGTCCTGGTGATCTGCTTCCAGTAAGACTGTTGTTGTTGTTGTTAGTTGCTGTTGAGTAGATTCCTATTCATGGAAACCCCAAGTGTGCAGAGTAGAACTGCTCCATAGGGTTTTCAGGGCCAAGAAAACACTATGGAACAGTTCTACTCTGTAAAACATGGGGTCGCCATGAGTTAGAATCGACTTAACAGCAATAGGTTGGGTTGGTTTTCGTTTTTAAGTGCCAGGCACCGTTCTAGGAAATGGGGAAACATCACTGAACGCTCTCATTCTACAACTGAGGGAAGGTGTAGAGAAACTGTTACTTGCCTATAGGTCTTGTCCTTTTCTGCTTACTCAGGACTCCTAAATTTGCTTTGGAACTGTTGTGATGAAGAGCTGCCCTGAGCTATTTATCTGCAGATCTCCCAGCATTCAAGAGCAAACATTTGCACATGAAAGGATTTACTGGTGGAAAGGGTAAAACAAGAAGTTCCTCTGGCTCAGATCTAGTTCTGAGTACCAACTCTTGAGCTCAACTGCCATGGCTAGGGATACCTTGAGATTTTCTAGAGTCTGTCAGCTCCTGAGGAGACTCCATAATTGTGGGCAGGGCCTGGGGCAGAGAGGGAGTGGCAGCCACATGTGGCAGATGGAGGTGCACAAAGAGAGAGCAGACAGGACTGCCATATGGATGGAGAGCAGTCACTGTGTGTTTCATTTTTCAGAGTGGGGCCAAACACAGCTGGCACTAAGAGTTGATTCAGAAGTGTGTAGCCCTTTGCCTCCCCATCCCCTCTGCTGCCAACAGTGAAGGCCATCTCCTGGTCTCTCTCCAGGGTCGCACTCTCTTCGCTACCTCTTCATGGGTGCCTCAGAGCCAGACCTTGGGCTGCCCCTGTTTGAGGCATTGGGCTATGTGGACGACAGGCTGTTTGTGTCCTATGATCATGAGAGTCGCCATGCCAACCTCCGCCCCCTGTGGGTTTGGAATGGGGCTTCCAGCCAGCTGAGGTTGCAGCTGAGTCAGAACCTAAAAGGGTGGGACCACATGTTCACCGTTGATTTATGGACCATCATGGACAACCACAACCACAGTACAGGTACGTGGGAAGGGGGCCTTGCCTTCCTGGGTGTGTTGGAGCGTCTCCCCACCTCAGAGATGCATTAGAGAGTTGGAGCATGAAGGCTGTGGGAGCAGGAAACAGGGAAGGAATTTGCTTCCTGAGGTCCCCGGTAGCCCCTGGAGATGGTGGAGACAGGGATCTACCTACTCCTTTGGTTTCAGTAATGAGGCTGGGTGTGCTGTCAGAGTCCCACACCCTGCAGGTGATTCTGGGCTGCGAGGTGCAGGAAGACAACAGCACTTGGGGGTTCTGGAAGTACGGGTATGATGGACAGGACCACCTTGAATTCTGCCCTGAGACGCTGGACTGGAGAGCAGCAGAGCCCGGGGCCCAGGCCACCAAGCTGGAGTGGGAAGTAAACAAGATTCGGGCCAAGCAGAACAGGGCCTACCTCGAGAGGGACTGCCCCGAGCAGCTGCGTCAGTTGCTGGAACTAGGGAGAGGAGTTCTGGACCAGCAAGGTAAGATAGAGGCACCCTTCTGCCCCCACACTCTAGCGACTGAGTGGACCTGGGTGCAGAGTGCAGGGTCCTTGGCTGGCATTTCTCAGAGGTAGCCGAGCTCGGTGGTTGTGTGACTTTTTCCAAGTTCTAGAAAGGGACTTTCTCAGCCCTGAGGTATCTACCTCACAATTGTGATATATGACACAGCCATGAGTTAAGGTTTTATGTTTTCCTCTATGCATGTGGGGAAAGAAGAAGCACCCGTGATCCTCTTTTGAATTGAATAAAGAATCATGTGTATATTTGTTCTTTTTAGGAATCCAGACATGTCAATATCACATTGATTATCAAAGCAAAAAGTTACCAAATGAGGCAACCAATCAGAGTTGCAGAGTTTTTTGGAGGTTAAAGGTTACTTTCTTAGAACATAGCAATAGTCCCTGAAGCCTGGCTATCGTACAAGTTCCTTCCTACAAGAATACTTATTGGATTGAACCAGATGAAATTGCCAATAATCCCTATTCAATCAGTTTTGATCCACATAAGTGGCAATTTCATTTGGTTCAACTTAATCTATTAGCAGAGAACTGAAGACCTGGGCAACAGGTACATACTAGACAGGAGAAAAAGGATGATATGACTGTGACTGTTCTTCGTGTGACACCACATCAGAGTCAAGTCTTAGCGTAAATTTTAGGACACAAAATGGTGTCCCTCCCTCAGCTTGCTTTGCCTGTAAAAAGTATTTCCTTCCTCCAACCCATAAAAAAAGAGAAGTGAAAGTTCCAGTCTTCCTAGCAAGGGGAAAAAGATTCCCTCTCTTCATCTTTCTTCTTTCCTGTCCAGTGCCTCCTTCTTTGGTGAAGGTGACTCATCACGTGACCTCTGAAGTGACCACTCTGCGGTGTCAGGCTCTGAACTTCTTACCGCAGAACATCACCATGAGGTGGTTGAAGGACAAGCAACCGCTGGATGCTAAGGAGGTTGAGCCTATGGATATGCTGCCCAACGGGGATGGGACCTACCAGGGCTGGATGGCTGTGGCCGTGCCTCCTGGGGAAGAGCAGAGATATACCTGCCAGGTGGAGCACCCAGGCCTGGACCAGCCCCTCACTGCCACCTGGGGTATGAATGAGAACCAGAAGCTGAGAAAATCTGTTGTGGGTGGAATGGGGCTGGTCAGCATGGGGCGGGTCTGCTCTGGGTTGGGAGGTGGGCTAGCAGTGGTGGTCACAGGCTTTCACTTGCCTTTGCTGTTTTAGAACCTTCGTCTCCTGGCACCTTAGTCATTGGAATCATCAGTGGAATCGCTGTTTGTGTCATCATCTTCTTTATCGGAATTTTGTTCAAAATCTTAAAGAAGAGACATGTTTCCAGTGAGTAGAAAGAAGGAAGAAGTCTCAGTATCTCTGCCCTTTTTTGTTTGGTGCTTTCAAGTCGATTCAGACTCACAGCAACCCTATAGGACAAAATAGAACTGCCCCATAGTGTTTTCTAGGCTGAAATCTTTACAGGAGCAGATCTCAGAGCTTTCTCCCACTGAGCTGCTGGGTGGGTTTGAGCTGCGAACTTTTTGGTTAATAGCTGGGTTAGCAGCCCAGTGCTTAACCATTGCACCACCAGTGCCCTCTCTGCCCTTTGGGTTCCAAAACAGCAAAGGCAAAGGCATGCTAATTCTCCTGCCAGAAAACGGGCAAAGGGAGGACATGGGAAGTCTTCCCTCTCTCTTCTTTTTCTCTGGGGACACCAGCCCCTTCCTAGGAGCAACTATTTGTTTTCCCCAGAATGAAAACTCTAATTCAACAAACATCTTTGGAGCACCTACTCTTTGCAAGGCACTATTTAAGGTAGTAGAGGAGCCCTGGTGACAAAGCGGTTAAGTGCTCGGCTGCTAATGGAAACGGCTATGGTTCTAACCCACAAGTCGTTCCATGGGAGAACGATGTGGCAGTCAGCGTCCATAAAGATTACAGCCTTGGAAACCTTGTGGGGCAGTTCTACTCAGTCCTATAGGGTCATTATGAGTCAGAATCAACTGGACAGCAATGAGTTTTAGTTTGGTTTGTTTAAGGTAGTAAGGAGCCCTGGCAGCACAACAGTGCTAGCTGCTAAAGGAAAGGTTGGCAGTTCAAACCCACCTAGCTGCTCTGCTGGAGAAAAGACCTGGCGATCTGCTCCTGTAAAGATTACAGCCTAGAGAACCCCATGGGACAGTTGTACTATGTCATGTGGGATCGCTATGAGTTGGAATCAACTTGATGGCACTAATATTTAAGGTAGTAGGAGTCCCTGGGTGGCGCAAATGGTTGAGCTCTCGGCTAACTGAAAGATTGGCAGTTCAAATTCCCCCAGAGAGGCTTGGGAAGAAAAGCCTCTGATCTGCTTTCCAAAGGTCACAGCCATTGAAAAATTCTATGTGCGGTTTTACTCTGAAACACATGAGTTGATCATAAGTCTGAATTGACTCGACCACAACTGGTTTGGTTTTCTTTAGCATTTAAGGTAGTGCAGGGGCTTGAGGAGGAAGGGGCTTCTTTTTCCTCCTATGGGTTGGAGAAAGGGGATACTCTTTTCAAGCAAAGCAAGCTGAGGACAGACACAAGTACAGTTAAAGAGGACCCCTTTAAGCTCCTAAGGGAGGTATGAAGCAAAAGCTTTGGAGTGTCAAAGGAAGGAATGACCACCTTTGGCTGAGGATCAGGAAAGGCTTCTAGGGGCTGGCTTCTGAGGTGGATCTTGAAAGAGAAGTAGGACTTCTCTAGGCTAGGTTGAGGATGAGTGGAGGTCTGCATGATTGGAGCAACCATAAAAGCAGGAGAGTGGAAGGCATACTGGGAGGTAAGATATAATGACTGCAACCTGTCCTTGACTTCACATACCTGTCAGTCACCAACCTCTTCATTTCTACTTCCTGAACATCTCTGGTGTGGGGAGAAAAGAGGCAGCCAGAAGCCAGCTAGGCAGGACCATGGGGGCCTGTTGGGACTTTATCTTATGGGTACTGGGGAACCATGAAGAGACATAAGCAAGGACAGACACAAACTCCATGGTATGGAGAATGAGTTGTTAGGAAGTGAAATGCGAGGTGAGGAGACCAGTTAGAAGGCCATTAAACAATTCCAGATGAGAGATAATGGTGTCTAAAATCCAGTGACAGCCTGCATCAAGAGTTGTCAGAGTTGAGAGGGGTGGATGAGGGAGATGAGGGACAGGGAGTAGGCAAGGATGATTCCTAGGTTTGTAATGTCTCTTTCCTGGTCTCTTGTCTCCACAGGAAGAACCATGGGGGACTATGTCTTAGCTGAAGGTGAGTGAAGTGCAGCCTGCAGACCCCTTGTGGGGAGGAAACACAATTAGAGACTCAAAGAGAGGGTGAATTTGTGGAGTTCTCCACATTTCAGGACAGAGGAGGACCTAACAGAAACTGCCTGAGGGACTCTTTGCTCTTAGCCTTCCCTGTTTACTCTCTCAAAAAGTTTTCCCTGTTTAGGTGTTTGAGTTGATGCATGCTAACAACTCCCAGCTGTGACCTCTCCCCTGAACTGGGTCTCCAATCTCAAGCTGCATCTAGAGCCTGTCTTTGTCTCCTCCATCACCTCAGACACCTGTACTCCTATGCCACCTCATCCCTAACTGTGGAAGAGGGAGTCTTAAATTTTGGGAACTCAAGATTCCTTTTAACACTTGAGAAAAGCAATGAACCTTCTCTTGAGGAACATGCACTCTCATACACCTACCAGAATTTTGCACATACATCCAGGCATTTCTTGGACCTTCCCTCTCTCCGCCCTCCCTACCCCAAGTTTCCTTTGACTCCTGTCTCTATGATATCCAGTAACTCGTCTGTCACCATGCCCTGAGGTCTATTCCTTCAGAGGCTGACCTGGGTGTTTGTGCAGCTATGAAGGCTATGCAGAGACTCCTTTCCCAGCAGAGGCATCATGGATGTTAATGAAGGTAGTTTTACAGCAGCATGTGGGAGAGAAGTGTCTTGAGGAAGTGTGTCTTTTTCTAATTTGCACAAAGGCACCATATGGGTTTTCTCAGATTAATGGTGGCTTCATTTGCAAACCTCTCCGTATATGCCAGACCTGAAGTACCATACTGATTTTCTACCTAGTTTCTGCTGACACTCTCTCCTTATTCTGGTAATGATGATGAGGATGATGATAATAATAATAATGTGGCTGTTAACCTGTTGCCGTCAAGTCGATGCTAACTCATAGCGATCCTATAGGACAGAGTAGAACTGCCCCATGGTTTCCAAGGAGCGGCTGGTGGATTCAAACTACCGACCTGTTGGTTAGCAGCTGAGCTCTTAAACACTGTGCCATGAGGGCTCCATATTATAAAAAAGCATTTGCTTGGTGCTAGGCTCTATTCTGAGCATTTACATGCATATCTCATGTAATTCTTACAACAGTTTTATGAAGTAGGTGCTGTTATTATCCCATTTTTTTTTTTTTTTTTAAGAAGAAGAAATGATACAGAGTATCTCACAGCTTTCTAGGGCTAGAGACGGGTTTTGAACTCAGACAGTCTGGCTCTTTGTTCCGTTTCACATACCACCACATTCAGATGGTTCCAGTGCTTGGAGTAATGTAGAAAGAAGAAGATTGCTGGTTAATACGGGTGAAATATGAGAGGTCTTCAAGGTTCCTGGGTGGTGCAAATGATTTGCACTTGACTACTAACTATAAGGTTGGTGGTTCAAACCTACCCAGTGGCACTGTGGAAGAAAGATCTGGTGATCTGGTTCCATGAAGATTACAGCCAAGAAAACACTATGGAGCTCATTTCTACTCTGTCACACATGAGGTCACCATGAGTTGGAATTGACTTGAAAGCAATGAGTTTGGTTTTGTTTTTTTCCCCATTCACTTCTCTTTTCTCATTGTGTTTCTTCTCAGTGAACTTGACCCAAATGAAGGGAAAACAGCAGAAAACAACCTACTGATCCTCAGCTGCCATATTTCCTTATGATATCCCTGTGGGAAGGATCCTGGAATATGACACCCTTACTCCTCTGTTGTCATCACTAGTATCTTTTCAGTCCTTAGGCCAGGGCTGTGACTGGTGATGTTAGCTAATGACTGTATTTGGCCTCACAGTGTCCTCCCTTGGCCAGTGCCTCTGGAGTCAGAACACTGACGGCATTTTCCTGAATGAGCTGGAGCACTCTCTCTCATATTAAAGACTGTAAAACAGATGGCACCAAGTGGCCTGGAGGATGCCCCAGGCATCTTCTTAGGATTGCTGGAGTTTCAGTTCTCATCCCCAGCTATGCACATTTTTTAAAAAATTAATCTAGCCAAGCCACTCAAGAATTCCTAGATTCTAGAAGAGTAAATTGGCTGACCATGTTCAAAGAATCTTAATATATACATCTAGGTGTCATGTGTTTACTAGGCAGCTATATATATTAGGCTGCATAACAGTGGTACAAAACATTCTGTCTTGGAGGCCAGGTACCTCAGGAGACCAAATACATCTCAGAAGGTTGTTTCGTAGTGTTATGGATTGAATTGTGTCCCCCACCCCAAAAGATATGTTGAGGTCCTAACCCCTATACCTGTGAATGTGAGCCTGTTTGGAAATAGTCTTTGAAGATGTTGTCAGTTAACATGAGGTCATACTGAAGTAAGATGGGTCCTAATCCTATGTGACTGGTGTCCTTATAAAAGAGGAAAAGATACGTAGAGACAAGGTGGCAGAGAAAAGACACCAGCTGCAAGCCAAGGAATGCCTGGAACTACCAGAAGCTAGGAGAGAGGCATGGAACAGATTTTCTCTCAAAGGCTCAGAAGGAATCAATATGGCTGACACCCTGGTCTTGGACTCCTAGCCTCCAGAACTGTGAGACAAAAACGTCTGTTCTTACAGGCCACCCAATTTGTGATATTTTGTTATAGTAGCCCTAGGAAACCAATACAGAAAGACATTAAATTTGAGCAAAAAGATCTCAACTATTTTTTTAAACTTTTCCTTTTTTTCTGACTGTGCAGATTATGTGAAAAAAGTAATTTGTGTGCATTGTAGAAAATTTGAAAAATTAATAAAAGAAAGTACATCTATTATACTGACAAATTCTATTAACATTTTATATTTCCTATAACCTCAGTCCTTGCACTTTTTCTCTATGATGTTTGGCATCCCTTCCTAGCTAAATTTCCTTCTCTTATAAGATATGTGCTTGTGGTGGGGAGCAAGTAGTGAGGGACAGGAACCTAAAAATTCTCAGTTTGGGGCCTGAAGAGTATAACTGCTTCATTATTTCAGATGTGTCACAGACCATATGCCATCTACAACTTACCTGCCCTCTTTCAAGTCTTTTGATGTATTAAAACATAGAAAATTAACAAATACATATATATTAATAAATGTACACTTGTGTACTGCATGACCTTACTGATGTTGTACTTGTCCATCTTACATATATATTTACTCATTACCTCAGTTTTAGGACATGCATACTGCTATTATTTTACATTTTGTTTTGTGGAATATTTTTATTAAATTGTAGTAACTGAATTAATTGTTTTTCTTTGCTCTAGAAACATTATTATCTAAGTTGTAACACACTAGTCATTTTTACCCCCAAACTAAGCTGGAAACACACTGACCAATTCTTTATCTCTAAATATTATCCTATCTATACTCAAAGCAGACTACCAAAAATCTTACCTTATTCTCCTACCTGGTGAAAGAAAAGCAACAAATTAGGCAGTGGTTTGTTGTTTGTTGGTTTTATTTCACAAAGACAAGTTTCAGAAAACACCCTAGTCTTCATTAAAAAAAAAAAAAAAAAAGCAAACCTGTTGCTGTCAAGTCAATTCCAAATCATAGTGACCCTATAGGACAGAGTAGAACTGCACCATAGGGCTTCCAAGGAGTGGCTGGTGGATTCAAACTGCCAGCATTTTAGGTTAGCTGCCAAGCTCTTAACAACTGTGCCATCAGGGCTCCCTAACCTTCATAGTAACACATTAACAACCATCAGCAACTGGGACCTATTAATTTTTTGTTATAATAGAAATTATAAATCTCCATCTCCTCCTAGTTTTTCTTAGTTTAATTTTTCTGGCTTTGTTTTTCTATTCTTAAGGCCAACTACGTTTGAAAAATCAAAGAATACCTGCATTTAAATTCTGTATTTTATTTTGTCTCCAGCAAAACAAACCCATAAACAGAAAGTGCTAGTAAGAAGAAGAGTGACATCTGGTGGCTATGGCCAGTATGTGTCACAGTGGTCACGTGACAGGAGTGTCCAACAGGAAAGAGACCCAGTTGGGGGTTTTCCTGATGGGAAGGGTCTGGAGAGGGAGTGGGGCGCTGGATCATTTGGTAATGACAAGGCCCTGAAAATAAAAGTGAGGTTTTATTAATGATATAATGGGCAAAATAAAGTTGGAGGAAAGCCCTCCTAGACCTTCCATGTAAATGAAGGTGGCACTTGCTGGGATGTATATCAGGGTGACTCAAACTTTGTCTTTTTGCATGAAATTACCATTTTGTATATACTCTATTGATTTTCATGAATTAAAATGCATATTGGAGTTTCAGAGCTTTACCTATAACCTCAGTCCTTGCACTTTTTCTCTATGATGTTTGGCATCCCTTCCTAGCTAACTTTGCTTTTCTTATAAGATGTGTGCTTGTGGTGGGGAGCAAGTAGTGAGGGACAGGAACCTAAAAATTCTCAGTTTGGGGCCTGAAGAGTGTAACTGCTTCATTATTTCAGATGTGTCACAGACCATATGCCGTCTACAACTTTCCTGCCCTCTTTCAAGTCTTTTCTCTTCCTCACCCATTGGGTCTTCTCTTTTTTCATATGAGTAAGTTATTTCTCTTAGGCCATAGTCTCATTCAAAGTGTCCTCAATAGGCATTAATTGACTCGAAGGCAACTGGTTTAGGATGAGGGTGTCTTTCTTTTTTTTTAACCACAGTGATTCTTACCATGGAAATTTCAAAAGCTGAAGCAGGAAGCTAAGAAAGTTTGATTTGAGAAAAGTCTTCAAATCACAGTCAAAATTTTGATTTGAGGGTTCCCTTCAAACCACAGTGAAACCCATTCTGCTATTTTGCCTTGTCTTTTCTTTTTTCTTTTTAATAGCTTTCCCAAACCAAAACCCCACTGCCTTCGCGTGGATTCCTACTTGTAGTGACCCTGTAGGGTAAAGTAGCCATTACTTAGTAGCTGAGCTCTTAACCACTGCGCCGCCAGGGCTCGCTAAAGCAAAATTGACCCCTACGGGGATCGAACCGGCGGTCTTGGCGTTATTAGCACCATCGTCTAACCAACTGAGTTAATCAATCAGCTGTAAGAGGATTGGTCCTGTTTCATCACTAATAATCTTATCAAAGGCCTCCCATTGACGGACCCTGTAAGCTTTGTTATGACCTTAATCGAGTATTAGCTGTACCCTACAATTAATCCCCAACTCTACAAAACGTATGTTCTTGTTGCTAAAACTGGAGCAGTTTGAAAAGGGATTAATAAAGGAGGGATGGGAAGCTTGTAGACTGTTGTTAACTGTAGGCTGATCAGACAGATGCAGCCGGTCCAGAAGTGGGTCCAGGGACAACTGATTATCCAAATTTAGCTTTATGCCCCTTGCTTCTCTCCCCGACTTCAGAAAAAGGATTTTTTTTTAAAAAAATTGATAGCGAGATAGCAGAGGAAGAAGTTTGCACTTACAAGGTTTTAATATACAATATTTGTCTGCCCTTTTGTCGTCTCAAACACAGGACTTTGAGACCTTTAGGGACAAGACTCCTTCATGGCCAGGCTTATACTTTGTCCAGCACAGAGAAGGCTGTCAAAATGGAATAGGATTATTAAAAGGAGTGGCAGGGAATGCCCCTTGACTATATAACTCCACCTTCCGTTAGACGTTATTTCTATTTTTCCCCCAAGGAACCATTACCTAATTTATTAGTAACCAAGTAGAAACATGCAAAAGAAACGTGGAGTGGGGTACTTTGCTCAACGTTTTTGAACTGATGAGAATACTTTCAACTTGCAAACGCGCACCAACTTAATGCACGAAGACAAAAGACAAAGCTTTTCAGCAGGATGAAACCCTTAACTCTCAGTACAGCCCGCCCAATGAAGCACAAGGTTTCACTGGCAAATCAAAACATTGAAATTTCTATAAAACACCCGCCTGTCTTTGCTTCTCCGACTCGGTGACCTAATTTGGAAAAAAAAAAAAAAAAACCCACCCTCCGCGCGCTTGTTGTTTTCAATTAGGTCCGCATAAATACTATTTAAAGCACTGGAGAAAGTTTACGTTACTTTTGTGGCAATAATCATGTCCGGACGTGGTAAAGGAGGAAAAGGCTTAGGAAAAGGGGGTGCTAAGCGTCACCGCAAAGTCCTGCGCGACAACATCCAGGGTATCACCAAACCCGCCATTCGGCGTCTGGCTCGGCGCGGTGGTGTTAAGCGCATTTCCGGTCTCATCTATGAGGAGACTCGAGGGGTGCTCAAGGTTTTCCTAGAAAATGTGATCCGTGACGCCGTCACCTATACTGAACACGCTAAGCGCAAGACGGTTACTGCCATGGACGTGGTCTACGCGCTCAAGCGACAGGGGCGCACCCTCTACGGCTTCGGGGGTTAAAAATACAGTCAACTTTTCCGTTATTTCCAAAAGGCCCTTTTCAGGGCCGCCCACGAAATGACACAAAAAGCTGACCTGCATTGTAAAAAATTAAAGCTTTGTGGCTGCTGAGCGAAAACAAATAGTTACAGTGCAGTTTGTACCTGTAATTTTTACGACTACGCCACGCTAAGGTGAGAAAGTTTTTAATTAAGTGCTTTGAAATAACGTAAATAACGCTCAATAAAACGCGTTTTTCGTGGCATTTGAAAGCGTTCTGAAAGGTATCTAAGGCAAAACGCACTGCATAGCGCTATGTAAATGAAGGCTCTTTGGGGACAACCTCTCATTGGAGGGCACGCGATATGAAACGACCTGGTGATACTATGGAGTAAGAGATTCCAGGGACGTTTTCCTATTGGTCCAAACAACTAAGGAACGGGACGCAGAACTTTGCGTGTTTTTAACCCGATGTATGCCAGGAGCGAGAAGCAAAGGCGTATTGTGTTTAGACGGATTCCCGTGCTGCTGGGGCGACTCGCTGGTGGCTGGGCAAGAAGCCAGTCGTTCGTCCTCTGTGGGAGTCAGCCACTGCTGAGGACTATCGGTCAGGTGTCGGGCAAGTGAAGCATAGTTTTGCACATCTCCACAATTCCAACCTCACAAGGAAACAATGACCACCATAGCCAAGCAAAGCATGCGCTGTGGATGATCGGAATAGAAATTGTGATTTTTTTTTTTTTACATTTTAGGACATGGTTTAATTTTTGTTTTTTTGAGCAGCCCAATTATACGAATGAGTCTTAAGAAAGGCCAGATCCTGGTAAACCACATCTAAAAATGCACTGCATAGCTTTGCATTGGGCTTTTTCAAAGTCACCCCGAATACTAAGTCCCAAAATAATATAGCAATATTAAAGAGCTCTGGTGGCGCTAAGGCAATCGGGCTGCTAACCTAAACGTTGGTGGTTCAAACCTATCCGGCTGCTCAGTGGCGATTTGCTCGGGTATAAATTAAACCCAAATGAACAAATCTGTTGCCTTCAAGTCGATCCCGACTCATAGTGACCATATGGGACAGAGTGAAACTGCCCCATAGGGTTTTCAAGGCCATAAATTTTTAGGGAAGCAGATTGCAACATCTTTCTCCCCTGGAGAGGCTGGCTGGTGGGTTCGAACCCACCAACCTTTCTGTTAGCAGAAGAGCGCTTAACGACTTCACCACCAGGGCACCGAGGTAGATTACAGCCTAGGAAACCCTGAGGGGCAGTTCTACTCTGTCCCATATGGTCACTATGAATCGAAATCTATTCCAAGGCACTTAACAACATTACTATGGTTTTAACATTTAGGATGATCTTTAAGAATGTTAAGTGAAAATTGAAATAAATGTTGTCTAAAAGGGAAAGGTATTTTAATCTGGACCCTGAGGGTTTCTTACCAAGCTGGTTTCATGATTTTTAGGAAGGTTTCTTTCAGATTCTGTCAACTGTACGGCCTCCAAAATTTCCATAGAAGTTTTGGGTTCAGCCTGTAGAGCGTTCTGGCAGTTTAGTGAAGTCTATAGACTCTTTTCACAAATAAAATACATACGATCACAATTCTATTAAAATAAAACTTTAAAAAATTCTGACAGTAACATATGAATTTGTTAATAAATAACATCTAAATTACTACCACTCTTTGGAAATAGCAATGAGGATAAACGATTTTTCAATATTCTTGCAACAAATGTCAACTGAAAATACTTTCTATCGTTTAGTTTATAGCAGATAATAGAAGGAAATGCTAAATTTACTAGAGGTTAGTAAAAATAGAAACTAGAGTGTTCCTGGATTCGGATTAGGAGGAGAAAATTAACCCGTAATTATTGACCTGGACACTGGACTAAGAAAATCTGGTTGCTGCCGTGGAGTAGATTCCGATTCATGGCGACCTTATGGGTGCAAATAGAAACTGCTCCATAGGATGACACAAAAGGACAAATTGGGACATAGCTCTTGCTGTTAAAAAAAAAAGAAAAAAGAAAAAAAGTCTCTAATCCATTGCCATGGAGTGGATTCCAACTCCTAGTGACCCTTATGGAACAGAGTAGAATTGCCCCATAGGGTTTCCAAGGAGCAGCTGTTGGGTTCAAGCTGCTGACCTTTCCGTTAGCAGCCAGAGCTCTTAAGCACTGAGCCACCAGGGCTGTGTCTAGAATATCTATCTAGATCTAGACATCTATCTATTGATACTCTAGCTAGCTAGACACTGATATATTTGATAGCTGAGCAGAGCTTCATCCCTTCAACACCCTGGCATCTCCAGAAAAGCAATCTAGCCTACAGGAGAAATCCGTGTGTCCTCTAATAGCCTAAGCAGGGGGAATCTATAGATTTTTTGGGTTGGGCAATTGACTGAACCGCACCAGGCTTCGTTTTTTGGTTTATACTTTGTGTATAGAGACCTTTTATTTCAGCCCAAATATAACTGCACTTCTTGTAAGCAAACCCCACGTTGACCTAAGCTCTATTTTGTTACAGAAACTTCTAGAAATTTCTAGTGTCACGCCATTTTGTAAATATTTGGGTGGCTCTTAAAAGAGCCTTTGGGTTCTTTGAAAACTAGCCTCTCACGTTTTCTCACTTCTTTGATACTGCCTTCCTAGAATTTATTTTCTGCTGGGTCACTTTGGCCTTCCCGGCCTTAACCTGCCCTGTTCTGGCCTTCGCTGGGCTCTTCCGCTGTTGCTTGACCTTGGCGCCCTTAGCTTTCTTCACGCTTCTTCTAGCAGCTTTCTTAGCTCCTGCTGTCCTTGGCTTCTTGACTTTCTTGGTCTTGGGATTCTTTGCAGACTTCGGGTCTCTGGACAAAACCAGCTTCCTGGTCTTACCAGAGGCAGACTTTTTCACTTTGCCTTTGGTGGGCTCTAAAGCGGCCTTCTTGCTGAGCTTGAAGGAGCCAGAGGCGCCGGTACCCCTGGTCTGCACCAGGATCCCTTTGCTCACCAAGCTCTTGAGGCCCCACTTGATACGGCTGTTATTCTTCTCTACGTCGTAGCCGGCTGCTGCCAGCGCCTTCTTAAGCGCAACCAGGGACATGCTTGCTCGCTCCTGGGACACTGATAGCGTCTCGATAATCAATTTGGACACAGAAGGGCTCGGAGCCTGGCGGTTTGCACCTGTCAGGCCAACAGGTTTCTTCCCTCTCTTCTTGGCTGGAGGTTTCTCCATCGGGGCTGGAACAAGATAGGCAAGAGCTGCAGGCGCTGTCTCAGACATAGCAACAGAAAAAAAAAGAAAGGACGTAATAACCAGTGAGAAGCGTGAAATGAAGCGGGCCTCAGGGCCTTATATAGGGCAGGGCGCGCTGTGATTGGTGCATCGCCAAGGCACCTCCCCCGCCCTTCGGAGGAGGAGCATTTGTGTTTGTTCTACCCCCAAAAGTTGAATCCCACAAATCTCCTAGGAACCAAATCGCCCAAGTTCCACTGCTGAATGATCCAGGGAGACTTGGATTTCACATGCCTATTGTCTTTTAATGAAAGATAACCCTTTATGTCAAAACTAGTCAGTAAAGCTCTCGATTTCCAGCAAAATCTAAGGGAGAAGAACAAAACTTCCTCCTTTCCTTGAAAATTCAAAAGTGATTTTTAGCGGGAGGTTTATCTCACCTCTTCTGAGTGGTCTTCCAAATGGTTGGTTTCCACCTGATGGAGAAAATAAGTTATTCACGCCCTGACTTTTATTGAAATTTATTTATGTATGTGAGGGAAGTAACACAAATTTCTTAGATGTCTCACTGTGGAGTTAGAAGATGCTTGTGGAATTGCCTGAAACTTCAGGATATGAACATATTTGGGCAAACCCAATCTATGAAATCATAATCCACAAGGCACATGACTTTCCTGTGGGTAAAGCTCCTCCCCAGACCCTGTGGCTTCATAGTGGCCCCTCAAGGACAGGGAAGTCACATGAATCTCAAAATATGGTATCTGCTTGGTCAAAATCAGGCCACCCTCATAGCTGGTATCCTCGACTGAGTTCTGCTTCTGGTTTCATTACTTCAGTTTCCTCCCCTCTCTCCTGACTGATAAACAAATACAGTCCCCTACCCTCCCTAACTATAAAATGTCAGGCAGGAATCCTGCCCTGAAGAGCCCAATAGAACCACAGACCTGCAGCTCTAACAAGAGTTGGGTGGCAGGTGTGGTGGCAGAGCTGTGGAGGAAAGGTTGTTGGGACTGTGTCCACGATGCTGCTCTGAGCTTCTCCTTGAAGTGGTCTTTGTGAGGGGTCTGGAAATAAGAGTTTGCTTATGAAAGCCGTGTCTTTCAGGAGGTTGCTGAGGAAGCTGTGCAGTGTGGCCAGAACCCAAGGCCTCAGCAGAGGAAATCCCCATAATGACCTTTTTGTGAATATCCCCATATGCCTGGGTGAGAAGTTCCTTGGTTATTTTGCATACCTAAGAGCCACCAGAAGTTTTTAAGGAGAGACAGTTTGTTGTTGTATTGTTGTTATAGTTGTTTTGGCTTGATGTTTTTTGCAAAAAAATGATCATTATTGAAGAGGACCCAGTGTCAGAGGTTGGGAATCTCCTGCAGTAATCTCTGAAGGATGACAAGGGCTTCACCTAAGGAAAGCATATGGAAAAGGAGCAAGTCTGCATCCGAAATATTTCTGAAGCAGAACTTAAAGGATGAGATTGCTGGCTTTCAAACTTCTTCTGATTGTAAAGTTAAGTAGAAAAGTTTCTCTCTCTCTTTCTGTCACACACACACACATACACACACACACCAGAATCAAAAATTCGGAAACTACTACTACCCTAGGTGCCTGCACTGTGATGTATTCCATTGTTCTGTTTCATTTTTTTAAATGCTGGTTGCAAACCATGAAATTGATTTAATGATCCATTAATGGACTGTGACCTTCAGTTTGAAAAATCTTTCACCTTAATGAGAGTGTATCTTACCAAAGACCCTTAGTTTTGACATTTGCTTGGTGTCTCTGACCTCCAATGGTCTCTGAGCATTTGTGTCATTAAATGCTAGTGGTTTAGGGGTCCCTCTTGTGGCAGTTTGATCTTTGTATTTACAAGTTGACAGAATATATGCCATTGCATTGAAAATAACATACAATTAAAGAATTAAGAAATAAATTTAGATTATATAATTTAAGACCCAGAGAAAGAACCATGACTCATATTTTGCATTAGATAGTTAAAAAGATATCATAAAAACATGTCTCTGTCTCACACACACACATAGATACATATGTATGTAAACACATATATAGTGCTTACTTTATGCCATCACTGTCCTACACTTTTTCCCTCTTAAAAAAAAACCTCATTTTATAGATGAGGAAATTAAGGCATAGAAAAGTCACATGATTTGTCCATGGTCATAGAGCTAGTCAGGGCAGACTAAAACCATAAAAACCAAACCCGCTGCCGTTGAGTCAATTCCGACTCATAGCGACCCTATAGGACAGAGTAAAACTACCCTATAGAACCCAAGGAGTGCCTGGTGGGTTCAAACTGCCAGCCTTTTGGTTAGCAGCCATAGCACTTAACCACTATGCCACCAGGGTTTCCAAGGGCAGGCTACAGGGAGGAAAAAGCTGTAACTGGTTAAAAAAAAAAGCAGCAGTCATTCACTTTAGCCTAAAGAGGGGGACGCTTGGTGGTCTGTGGGTTGCAGAGTACCTTGTTTTCGTCTGTATTTACAAAATTTTGATAATCTTATTTTTGTTCTTTCTGAAACTCCAGATTCCCTTACTAGCTATTTATATGTAAGTAAAGACATGTACCCCATCGTGCTGTTTCTTAATTTGTGATTAACATGTATTATGCTAACCTTTCAGACTTCTGTCTAAAAGATTTATATGAACAATTCAGCCAAAAAAACCAAACCCATTGCCATCGAGTTGATTCCAACTCATAGCAACCCTATAGGACAGAGTAGAACTGCCCCATAGGGTTTCCAAGGAGCCGCTGGTGGATTCAAACTGCAGACCTTTTAGTTAGCAGCCATAGCTCACTGTAGCTCTTAACCAATGTGCCACGAGGGCTCCAATGCATCCCCAGGAGTCAAAAATAATTTTCCAAACTTACATGGATGCTAATAAGCCAGTCTTCAAAAGCAGGTGATACAAGCATTAGCACTTGGAGTGAATTTTCTTTAATCCAGAGTATGGCACAATCAGCAACAACAGAAAGTTATTTTTCTTAATCCTCCCGGTAACAAGGGAGTAGAGTCTGATGGTGTATGCTTATTTCCCCTCACCCTTACCCCTTCTTCCCACCTCAGCATAGATCCAACGACCCCCTAGAGGTGCTACAAACATCTGACGACCATGAAGTGGAAAGTACGTGGAGAATGGTTAGCACAGGATGATAGAAGTAACCTGTTAGGCAGCCCCCAAAACCACAGCCTAGCCTAAAGTCATGGATTGAATTGTGATCCCAAAAATATGTGTAGTAAATTCTAACCTCTATGCCTGAGGTTTTAATGCCGTTTGGGAATGGGTTGTCTTATGTTAATGAGGCAAGATTAGTGTAGGGTGTGTCTTGAGTCAATCTCTTCCGAGATATAAAAGAGACTGAACAAGCAAGCAAGCAGAGATGTGGGAAGGTAGATGCCAAGCCACACAGAGCTCTCCAAGGAAATGGAAACAGAAGCTGGCTGAAGAGACCATTCCCCAGAGCTGACAGAGAGTAAGCCTTCCCCTAGAGCCGGCACCCTGAATTCGGACTTCTAGCCTCATAAACTGTGAGAAAATAAATTTCTGTTTGTTAAAGTCATCCACTCACTTGAGATATTTCTGTTATAGAAGCAATAGATAACTAAGATACCTAGGTTCCTGCTAACTGGGAAAAACAAACCCCTTTCTGGTTAAGCCACTCTAGTAGTTGGGTTTCTGTAAAATGTCGCCCTGCACATCCATAACTGATACACAAATATTAGTTCAATGGGTGGTACGTCTCTATGAGCATGGTGACTTCATGAGGCTGGGATTTTGGTCATGCACACTGCTGAGTGCCCTCATCAGTGCCTGGTGCATGAGAGGGGCTCAACAGAGCATATTGAATGAATGATGCACACATGGTCCATCCCCTTTCCAGCTTTCTCTCATATCTTTAAACCATAGCTTTACAGCATATATCATTCCAGCTTATTTACCTATCTCAGATATGAGACCAATTTATAGATACTCACCCCTCCAAGATTATAAGGATATCATTGTCAATTGGATAGATATAAATAGTTGTGTACATAATTTGCATTTCTTTAGTTTTTCATAAGGTTCAATGTTTTTCATGGGTGAGTGTTCAGAATGGGCAGTTGGATTGGGCATTGGTCTAATTCTGGCTCTGGGGACACTCATTTCTTGATTCCCTGCACTGCTGTCTGCATGTGGTATGGGAGGAGCCCTGGCCTTGGAAGGAGGGAAATGGACTAGCTTCCCATCTCATCTGTTTCTGCTTTTGTGACCTCCAACAAGTTTAACTTCCCTGCTCCTGTGTCTCACTCAGTTTTCTTGTCTGTAAAGTAGAGCAATAACCTTCTTCACTGGGTCGTTAGGAGGTTTATAACAGACAGTGTAGATAAAAGTAGTTGAGCTACAGTTACACGCAGCCAAATGCAGTTGTTTATTCCAGCATAGCCCTGGGCAGAGAAGACACCTGATAAATACGTTAGGCTTTAACCTAAGATCCTATTAATTCTTTAAATAGCGCCTTGATTGCAATCATGTCCATCATTTTGCAGCACACTTTTTTTCCTTATTGGGCCATGGCTAATAAAATCACGGTGAAAATTTGACCCTCACTAATAATGAAGGAAATACCTTTAAAATATGGAAAAAAAGTTTTGTTTTCTTTTTGCCTATCAGGTTGACGATGCTTTAAAAAAAAAATCCTCAGTGTAAGTACTAGTGCAGTAAAACAGGAGTTTCTATACTGTGTTGGGATTATACATTGGCATGGTTCTTTGGGACTGACATGTTTGGTAATATGAAAGTTATGAGATGTAAAACATGTTTTTACCCTTTGGTCTAGATTTTATCTAGGTTTCTATTTCTAGAACTCTAACCCAAGGAAATAATCAAATATTTGAACAAAGATTTATGTTCAAAGATGAGTGATCTGTATCACCTGTAAGCATAAAAATGGGATTCAGTCCAAACATCCAATAACAGAGGACTAATTACGTAAGTAATGATACATCCAAAAATTAAATATCAAACATCCATGAAAAATTGTTTGTAAGCATATTTAGTTACCTAGGAAATCATATGTATATATATGTATATATATATACATACACACATATATATACATACAGATATATGGCATGCCACCTAAATTTGCTCTATATTTATATATTTTATTTATAGACTATAGAATTAACATATTTATGTAATATATATTCATATACATACATCTCTCACATATATATAAAAAGAACAGGAGATACTAGGAATGATTTTAATTTTCTTTATATATTTTTCTTTTCATAAATTTCTGCAGTGAACATTTAATATTTTTAAAAACAGAAAAAATAAGTAAATGTTTTAGCCAGATGCTTATTAATCCTTCCTGTTCATTAAAAATACTTCCATTTATCTTCTTCTGGTATCATTTTCATTGGTTTATTTGTGAGATGACCTGTGGTGGAAAACTGATGCCTAAAGTCTGTTTCCTCCTCCTGTAAAAAGAGAGAGGGAGAAAGATAGATTCATTTCCATAATTCATCAGATCCCTGATATTGTACTTGACTCTGAGAACAACAATGATAATGAAGATGGCTGACCTTCAATGGGTGTTTGCTCCGTGCTAGGCACTGTTCTAAGCACTTTATCGATATCAATGCGTTTAATCATTACAACAACTTTATGATATAACTACCATTATTCTCCCAGTTTTATAGATGAGGAAATTAAGGCACAGAGAGGTTGAATTTTCCAGGTGACACAGCTGTTGGATGGTGATGCTCTGCAGTAAAGCCATACCTTCTAGCACTTAAGCCTAGGTGTGCTCTTAAATAAGGGATGAATGACCTACTCAGTGTCCTGGAGGAGACAGACTCCCAGATGAAGTTCTATTAGAGCTACATCTTGAAGGGCGAGTAGGAATTTATCAGGTGAGGAAATAGAGTTAGGGCTTTTCACGCAGGAGACACAGTAGTGGCAAAGGCCAGGTGGAGTGGATTATCTAAAGCGGGAAGCATAGGCTTGGCCGTGAGCCAGGTGAGCTGCCCATGAGGGATGAGGAAGGCATTTGCATGATGACAAGTTGAAGAGTTCATGCTTGTTATCCCACACGGGCAAGTGTAACAGTCTCCAGAAGGCTCCTTCTCTCTCTCCGGTGACATAAATCCGAGCTACTGGCAGAGGAAGCCCCCATCCCTCTAGATTTCCTCTTAAATAAGTCTAACGAAACATACCCATTAGATATTAGATATGTTTCCTTACACTTAAGAGAAAAATTTAAGGAAAAATGTCTTTTACTTCCTCTTATTGACAATAAAAGGAGCCCTGGTGGTGCAGTGGTTAAATACTCAGCTGCTAACCCAAAGGTCGGCAGTTCAAACCCACTAGCCACTCCACGGGAGAAAGACGTGGCAAGTTTGCTTCTTGGAAACCCTATGGGGCAGTTCTACTCTGTCCTATAGGGTCGCTATGAGTCAGAATTTACTCGATGACAGTGGGTTTGGGTTTTTTTGATTTGCCGACAAGAAAGCAAAGGAAAAGCTTATTTCATGCTCTCCACGAGTGTGTCCAAACACAGTGCAGGGAGATATATGCAGGGTTTGCTTATTAGAGAATCCCCTTTAATACTTGTGAGGCTGGCAGGGAGAAATGGGTTTCTGTGACGAGGGTTCACACATTTATCCGAGGGTTCATTATTGTGTCTCAGGCTTGACACATCTAACATCCATGCCACACTTCACTTGACAGAGGCTTTTGCTACATGTTTTATATGTACTTGTGAAAAACAGTAGTCTTTAAACAAAGAAGTTGTCTTTAGTCAGGTCCTAAGAAAGGTCATATTTAGGTAAGCTTTAAGATCCACCTGAAGCAGTGCCTGCTGGGAGTGGGCGGTGTCTGTGGGGCAGGCAGTCCTCTCTCTTTGGCCACAAACCATTGACAATCTCAGGTGATTCAAGAGGTGACCTCTGAACAACCAATAGTGCACAAAACAGAGTCACTGTTGCTTCAAATGTACTAGTATTAACAACTCTAAGCGCCACATATTATCTTAAACCCTGTTGAAAAGGCACCAAATTTAAAGACTATGCTCTCCCTCCATGTGCTCCCACTCAGACCTACTCTTACAGGCTCACACCCAGAATGAAAGCAGTGATGATGGCAGTAGAGAAGAAGGGACAGGTAATCTGTTGGAACAGTTCAAAGGTAGAACCAGTAGGGCTTCGATTTCTCCTATTTTCTTCATTACTAATCCAGCCCCTAAGGGCTTCATATGTGCTTTCAACTAACATTTTATTGTCTGAGGTTCATTGAGTTAATATAGCAAAGCACTTAGAACAGTGCCAGGCACATACAAAGTGCTACACCAGCGTTAGCTACTATTACTCTATTAAGCATTGGGATTAACATTACTACAACTATTATCATATCTACTGCCACTCCTGATGTTCTTTCCATACTCTACCTTTTTCCTTTTCCATAGCATTTATCCTACTCTCAAATTCTATATAATTACTTATTATGTCTACTGTTTGTTGCCTGTCTTCCCAGCTAGAATGTAAGCTCCAGGAAGGTAGCAACTTTGCCCTTTTCCAAGGAGACAGTCACTGAAGATGGCTCCTTTGCAGCCAGAGGAACAAGAGCCAGAGGGATGGTCCCTCAGAGTGGGAAGAGAAGGAAAAGAAACCCTCTCCCGAGATCACCCCCAAACCCTGTCCCAGCTCCCCGGCCTCTGTGCTAGATGTTGTCAATGGCCAACAAGAAACCATTGTGGAGTCCCTTGAGAGGGACAGAGGGTAAGGGGGAAGGAGGAGGGTGAGAAAGTCCAATGCAAACTACAAACGATGACTGAGAGTCAGCTTGCTCTGCTTTCACCAAACTTTCTTTTTTCTGCTGGGGCATACAGCCGGGTAGTCTGCAGTCTTCAGTCTTCTTTGCAAGTAGGTGGGGCTGAGACCAGAGTTCTGGCCAAAAGAACATGTGCAGAAGTGATATGTGCCACTCCCAGGCCTGGCCTATAAAAATCTCCCCCACAAAAGCCTTTCTTCCTCTATCTGCTGGCCTGATATTGAGGCTCCGGCAGAGATCTCTGAGGCCCAGAGATGCCCAAGACCAGTCGCAAGCTTGGTAATCCCCATAACACTGTTACTTCTGCCTGCTAGCTACAAAGTTGGGGGTTCCCTCTACCCGCTCAGGATGCCAGCTGTAAGCTCAAGGGTCCCCAGGCCCCCTCACTTCTCACCTACTGGCTCCTACTACTCTCTTGAGTTTGATAATTTGCCAGAACAACTCACAGAACTCAGGAAAATACTATGCTTACGATTACAGCTTTGTCACAGCAAAAAGGATTTGAGCAAAGCGATGCATAGGGCGAGACCCGGGAGGACTCCCAACATGAAGCTTCCATGTCCTAAAGGACGTGCGACCCTCCAAGCACTGATGTCTTTCACCAACCACGAAGCCTATGGAGCTTCAGTACCCAGAGCTTTAACTGGGGGTCTCATTACATATACATAATTGATTGAATCATTGCTCCACATAGTTGAACTCAACCTCCAGCCCCTTTCTCCTGAGGTTGGCTGATACGTTGGTATCACGTGGTGGGTCTTTCTGGCCAGCCCCTACCCAAGAGTCACCTTGTTAGCATAACCTGTTAGGTAGGTGTCACTGTCCAACAAGACACCATTGTGGGGTCCCTTGAGAGGAACAGAGGATAAGAGGGAAAGGAGGAGGAGAGAAAGTCCAAAGCAAAGTGGACTGGAAGTCTAGAGGCCTCATCAAAGATACTTCAGTCACTGTGGAAATTCCAAGGTTTTAGCGGTTATCTCAGGAACTAAGGACAAAGGCCAAATTCTTTGGGTAAAGTTAACTGTAAATCCCACAGCATTCAACAAAACTTTATCGAACAAATGAATTGATTAATTCAATCATTTCGTGCACCTACTGTGTACCAGGCTCAGTGACAGCCCTTGGGAGATACTGCGGTGATCAAATCAGGGCTCGTAACAAATTGGGCGAGACAACTAGACAAGTAATGACCATTACATGCAGTTGCAAGAGGGGTGGTCAGAGAAACTTTGAAGGAAAGTGACGTCCAAACCGACACTTGCAGAATGAGCAGAAGTTTGCCAGGCAGGAAGGAGGGGGAAATACTCAGTAGGTTCAGCATATGTGGAAGGCAAGAAACCATGAAAGGCAGGGTGTGTGCAAATCTGGCTGCAGTACAGAGCATGATGAGGAGAGGAGCAAAAGAGGCCCCAGAGAGTGGGTAGGGGCACATCCCGCAGAACCTTGGAAGCTGTGTTTCAGGAATTTGTAGTTTTTCCTGTTCTTGTTGTTAGTTGTCATCCAATCAATTCTGACTAATGGTGACCCCATGTGTTACAGAGTAGAACTGCTCCATAGAGTTTTCTTGGCTGTAATTTTAATGGATGCAGAGTGCCAGGCATTTCTTCTGCAGTACCTCTGGGTGGCTTTGAATTGACAACCTTCAGGTTAGTAGTTGAATGTAATCTTCACCACCTAGGGACCTTCATAATTTATCCTAAGAGCAAGATAAAGTGCTTTCAGGCCCATTACAGATTACCTATCGCCCCCCAGCTCACAAGCCAGTAGGATGAAGACCTCACTACTCCTTCCACTCATTTCTGGCTGAGTAAAATTCCCAAGCCATTTAGTCTTATTTATGTCTAGAATTGATCAGGCCAAGTTTCACGTCTGATGTTTATAGTCAAGACTCCTGACCACTCTCCAAACCCTCCAAAAAGCCCTAACCCTGCTCGAAATCCTTGACCTCCAGGCTAGCAGGTTTTCTTCCATTCAAGATGGCTGAACCTACATCTTTTCTTTGGAATTCTTAAACACACAATTACTTCCCAATTTAAAAAATATATTTATTTCAAAGCACTAAAACTCAAATTTGTATGTGTGTGTTAACATCTCGTTCCCAAGGTCTATCATCCCAATTGTTTAAGCAAGTCCAAAATAAAAGAAAAAAAGAAAAGAGGGAAAGAAGGGAAGAGGGAAAGAGAAAAGAAAAGTAAGAACGAAGGTTTACACTTACTGCTCTTGAGTCCATTTTTTTTTTTTTTTTTTTTTCTTTTTTTTTTGCTGTTGGAGAACTTAATGTGGTCAGAGGACATGCCCAGGAATGTAACTGATGGAGCCAAGGTTTTTACCCAACGTTACCTCCTCAGAGTAGCTCCGTCTCCTCATAGAATTAATAAGAAAATTAATGATCAAGAATCGACAGTATTGAAGGAAGAAGTCCAACCTGTACTGAAGGCATTGGTGAAAAAAAAGGCTTCAGGAATTGACAGAATATCAGTTGAGATATTTCAACAAAGGGATGCAGTGCTGTAAGTACTCATGTGTCTATGCCAAGAAATTTGGAAGACAGCTACTGAGCCAACCAACTAGAAGAGATCCATATTTGTGCCCATTCCAAAGAAAGGTGATCCAACAGAATGAGGAAATTATTAAACAATATCACACATGA